GCAGGCCCTTCCTCGGTCAGGCTTGATGGATCCACCGTCACTTTGCGCGGTACTTTTAAGACAGACTGTACGTGCCTGCTACGAAAGTATGTTGGAAAAAGTGCGCTGGGAATGAATGAAACCACAGCCACGGTAAATGAATGAAACCACGGTAAGGTGCAAAACAGCCCATTTTTGTGCGATTTGACGTGGAATGCCCCTGTGGCGTGACCGAGAGTCGGGTCGCAGTTCGAGGTCAGTGGGGTCAGCCTCGTCCACCGCCTCCGGGCTAGCGGTGCGCTGGGCAGCGCGGGTCTGGGCAGACCCTCTGCGCCACCGAGCGTGTTGCTAGTTCTTTCAGGATAAATATGGAATGCATTCATGGCTGTGTTATTCACGATGCCGTATACCTAAATGAAAAGGGAAGGATGCATAGCCACCACAGCACAGCAGTAGTTTCCGCACTTTGCGCATCGGTTCTGACGAGGTCACAACTCACATCAATAATAACGACTCACAAGTCAGCGTCGAATCAGTTAGTTACTCACAATGATTACAGGATGATTGATGAGACCCATCTACATAAAAAGATTTTAACTTTCGATACACATACACATGATTGAGTAAGTAAGTGATCTTGAATCTTGATATGATTGGCCAATAAATGATGAGTGAATGGTAACGAATGTCGATGATATTCAAAGCGCACATAAGAGCAAATAGTCAGTGGAAAACGGAAAGGTCCGATCGGGACCAAACCAGAGCCCTCCCAAACTATAGCCTGACGCTAAACCATCCCGCCACGAATACACTATCAAACCGTGAGCATAGTCGCTATGTGGTGAGCGATTTAATTAGTATGACACGATCATGACGCCTACGGCGCACCGAGTCAGTCGGTCGGGCCTCGGGCGAGGCCAGTCACGTGACCAGTTGGCGGTGAGGGATGGACCCCGTCCTGTAAGTGCAGGGGAGGGATCGAGGAGAGGCCAGTCGCCGTCCTTTGCGATAACAATAGACGTGTGGTCAACAAAGCCGTCCTACCCGCAGATGATGTTATGAAATTTGTTGAAATTGAAAAGCGGCAAAGTCATCAGAACAAGAGTGGCGCATATCATTCATTTTTTTATTTTTATTTTGTATCCTGATACGCTTTGGCCGTTTGTAGAACGATGACCGATGGCAATAATTAAAGAAATGAGAGTGTGGCTACAGTTTTATTGCACCTGTGTATAAATGCAAATTAGGAATGAAAATTATTTTTTCTTGGCTTTTTAGTTATATGTTTCAACGTTATTTCTTCTTTATTTAAAAGAACCCGAGCTAACAGTGGAAAAAATGCATTGTGTCCTCCACTGGCCATTTGATTAAAAAACGGATGCCTAATTCTCTCCCCCCCCATTAACCCTCGCTCTGGCAGGGGGTCGATGCGACCCCCCCCCTCCTAAGTATATATAAAAAAAAATTATTGTCCAAAATTTACTGGAGACCTTTCATGACCTGAGATGACCTCAGTAACATAAAATTGGTCACATCACGAGATAAATTTTCCGATTAGATGTGTAATATTTACCTGTATACCAATGTTTGAGGGTGTTACGTTCAGAAAAAGAACATTTCAATATTCTCCCATTAAGCTGGGGGGGGGGCGTTTTACGCCCCCTCCCCCTTAGGTTTTTCGCGAATAGGTATCTGAAGAACAGCGTCGCGCGGCGCCGCCGTTTTTTAAATACAACCGTTCATGCAACTTTTCCACAAATCTTGTGAACACTTCAGACCCGGGTCGTTCAAGGTCAGGTTACCAGTTCACGTCAAGTGACCTTACCTCAGAAAAAGTTTAAAGGCTTGCAATAGCGACACAGACTGAACGATCACTTTTGAAACTGTAAAAGAATGATAGGACTAACAATATGTATAAAATGTTCATCTCGGACTTTTGATGTCTGTGACCTAGGGTCAGGTCATTTCCGATCCTAGAACGCACATTAGGGGGGGGGCACCCCCGCGCCATTTCGTTCCTTATAGAGATAGAGCTTCGCGGTAAAAACCAACAGATTTTTTTTGGGAAAAGACAAATTCAATGGTACCCAATTTTGCGTCATTAGGTCAATCATTGACCTTCCAGGTCAGGTCAAACTAAACAATGTTAGTGTTTGGGCCACCGCTGGAATATCACGTGCGGTGCCCATCATATACCGATGGCGCTGCCGTTTGTGGTGCCAAGCCAGCTAGAACAGCTCTTTGTCACACTATCCGACTGTTTTTACTGGCTTGGGTCATTTCAGGTCAAGCTAGGTCAAGGTCGACGATGTGTTTGTATGTATGTGTGTGTCTGTGTGTATAATGATGTGTGCACCGATTGGTTTGTGTGTCCCTATTACATGAGATCATGATCTGAGAAGAAACTTTTACCAAAAATGCAGCGAAAAAAAAAGCCTAAAAGCCTAAAATGCAATGTTTTTAGATGACCTAGGTTGACCTTGACCCTGATCCTGACATCTGCACATCGTCGAATGACATGTTCCATGACAGGTGGGAGGTAAGACCATGTATTGTATCGAGAGTACATGAACCTCCAGGCTCCACGAATCAAACTATTAAAACAGTTACATTAAAGGCGTACCGGTTTCGTCTATTGACTTCTTCAGCGCCGTTGTATGAAACGAGGAACAAGAAAACGAGCACAACATCAATCGTTTGAAATAAATAGCACGTATTTCTGAGAACAAGGTCATAGTAGTCGGGCACCTCCTAAATAAAACGAAATCATACATACATATTTTCGTGAACATGTAGCAATCTATTCGCAACATGATATTGCAATAGCTAAATAGTCTTAACCCTCGCCCTGGCAGGGGGGGGGTCGATGCGACCCCCCCTAAGGTTTTTCGAAGATAGTGTAAAAACGGCGGCGCGCAGCGCCGCCAAATTTGGCACAGCCTATGGGGCAACCTTTTTACATATGACCTTAAAATTTCAGGTCCGGGTGACCTTGGGTCAGGTCACCAGGTCAGAAAAACCGGTACAAGGTCATGGTCAAATTTCAATTTTCTTTTTGCACCTGTCCAACTCACAGTTTTCGACTGATTTCCTTCAAACTTTCAGGATGTGCTAAGTTCACCGAGTTGTATAACATATAGTCCGGTTTTTTTGAGGTCACTGACCTGAGGTCAGTTAGAGGTCATTACGTCGTAATGTTAAGCCTATGGGAAAATACTAAATTCGGAAAATACTGGAGATATCCGCTTCGTTTGATCTTTTTTGTGCTTTGAAACCACGGTACTTAACAGCAGGTCACTTGGTGCTTCTTTGTTTGGTGTACTTATCCAGGGGTCAGGTCACATGAGGTCAACTGAGGTCAAATGACGTTTTTGCCAATAACTTGGCACATAATGACGCTAGAGCTTCAAAAATGGTATCATTGTGTTCCTGGTGATCAGCCGAATCAAATGATATGCGATATGACGCAATTTGGTTAACTTAAACTTAACTTATTAAGTTAAGTTTACTTAAAATTTAAGAAAAACTTTAAGTACACTTAAGCTAGCTAAAAAGTATATCATTCGACGCGCCTTGACGTGCTGAGTTCACTGGTGCTTTTCTTTTTGCTCTATCTTACTTAGATCAAAAGTTATAAGCGAAAAACTTGTGACCTGTTTTTAGCGAAATTTTTACATTTATACCCCCCAAAACCCCCCTAAATATTGACCTAGAGCAACCAAATTTGCACAGGGGCGAGAACTCCGGGGGGGCCACCTACCTACCAAATTTGGTGTTTCTAGGTGCCATAGGAGCCAATCGCAAGGGGGGGGGGTCGCATCGACCCCCCCCCCCCTGCCAGGCCGTGTTATGAAAAATGCCCTGCCAGGGCGAGGGTTAAATCAATTGACGGTGCATATAATATGTTTTCACTTCTCTCATTCTCTCTCTCTCTCTCTCTCTCTCTCTCACTCTCTCTCTCTCTCTCTCTCTCTCTCTCTCTCTCTCTCTCTCTCTCTCTCTCTCTCTCTCTCTCTCTCTCTCTCTCTCTCTCTCTCTCTCTCATTTTTAATTTTTATCTAAGGTAGGTAAGACCATGATGGGGGAGGTTTTATAAATTTAGTCCGAACCTTATGATAGGAAGGATTCACAAGGACAGAGCCACCGCTAAGCGAAGCTTGTTGCGGTGACCCTGCCCTCTACCCTCCGGTCGCGCAATTCCAGTTCTATGGCAGAATTTATCCGCCGTCTCACTCCCGAGGAAAAGGCTGGCGCGTGTTCAGGGATTGTATTTGTCAGGCAACACAATGGTCAGTCACAAAGGCAGCCTTTGTGAGTTAACCCGCCCAGAAAATACAACACTCTGCATTGGTGAATACCTTCCGAAAATGACTGACCAAACAGGGATCCATTTTCAGCAAATGAGAGATAACGCTGAAATCGCTGAAACGTTTGCAGACGAGCGTACCCGCATGGGACTGCATACCATATACAGATACAGTCTTCATAAGACATGGCATAACGTACGTTTACAACATCGCGCTATACATTATATACAGTATACACAGGTGGCAGTCGGGGTGGGGGTGGGATGCTGGTCGCGACCGCTCGGCGCGCCGTCCAGTGAGCGAAAGAGCCTCTGGCCTCGCCCCGGCCGCCGCGGTCGCGCGCCTGACGTCACGAGGTCAATCCTCGGAGCTAGAGCGTCCGATAAATGAGTGTTCGGGTACGGTGCCTGCCCGTCCCGAAAACTAGCATTTACCCGCCGTCTCGCTCCCGAGGAAAAGGCTGGCGCTATTGGTTTTCCCTCGCCGAACCTATTGGTTTTCTAGTTACATATGTTCCGATAAAGGGGGGGAGCGTTGCTACGACCCCTCGATGCATTCACATAAACAAACTTTGTCTGTGCACAGGCCCCTGGCCCGAGACCCCCCCCCCCCACCACCCCGTTTGTGCACTGGCCCCTGGCCCGAGACCCCCCTACCTCGTCTGTGCACCGGCCCCTGGCCCAAGACTGACAGCACCCCTCTGTCTGCGCGCAGGGCCCACCTAGAGTGAGTAGCCTCCATTGCCTGGTCTCTAGCTGTTGTCGCGCTTATCGGTGCCTGTGCCGTGCTCGCCCGCCTGCTGTGCCGTGCTCGCCCGCCTGCTGTGCCGCGCTCGCCCGCCTGCTGTGCCGTGCTCGCCCGCCTGCTGTGCCGCGCTCGCCCACCTGCTGTGCCGTGCTCGCCCGCCTGCTGTGCCACGCTCGTCCGCCTGCTGTACCGCGCGTACTCGCCCGCCTGCTGTGCCGCGCTCGCCCGCCTGCTGTGCCGCGCTCGTCCGCCTGCTGTGCCGCGCTCGCCCGCCAGCTGCCTCGTGACTGTACCGTGCCGTATTCGTCTTCTGTCCAGCCTAGTGTCGGCCTCGCAGTCGCCTGCGGCGGCTCGCAAGCCTGCTGGATGCAGTTGGCTTTTGGAGCGGCTCGCAGCCTCGCTACTGTTGGCGCCAAACTGCTTTCAAAGGACAGTATCATCATTTTGATGAAATTTGATATTGCATACTGCATAGGCCCCACGGCCACTTTTCTGATGCGGGAACTGAAGACCGATCCTCGAAGCTCCACACCGTTCTCACGCTATCGCCGCTCAACGGTACGAAATGTGTTCTACACTTTGAATCGCGCAGAATCGCGCACCACTATTCTCACTGTTAAATGCTTGCGCTGTTTTAACCCGCGCACCGACGGGGGTATGCGCCAACTTAGAACCGACGGGGGGCGGTTGACGCCTCCCCCCCCCCCCTGAGATCTCGAAAACGAAGCAACATAGCGACAATCGGTATTTTTACTGAGGTCATTTTCAGGTCAAGTAAAAGATGACGTCACAGGGGTCAAAAAGGTCAAAATGGCGGCGCTAGAAATGAAGAGTTTTTCTCGAATAACATTAAATGAACTTCAAACGCCTCAGTGCAAAGGGTTTCAAAAATAAATCAAGGCTTATGAAAATCGTGAGCAGGGTTGGGAAAAGGATCATGTGACTGAGGTCCCAACCTTATCAGTAAGAATCTTGTACCGCACCATCCTCTTTAGGCTGAACGCACGTCCATTCATTCTTAACCACGTGCTCCAGCTACACCTGCAACGGTGTGTGGAGAATGAGTCGACATCAGCACTGAACAAGTCGCTGTATGTGGACAGCCTTCTCAACACCACATCACAGCTGGACCGTCTGAAGAGACAGCTCCTCAGCAACGTTAGTAAGGTATTTGATCCACTCAGCCTGACGTTGCCAGTAACGATCAGGGGTTGTTTGCTTATGAAACAGGTGTGGCAAGAAGGAACCGACTGGGACAAGGAAGTGTCTGTGTTTTTTTCCTTCTCAAATGAAAATTCACACCAGTTCTGTATTCATCATTCATTCCACTTAACTTATCTCTCTCCTCATTCCCCCGCAACCTCTTTCTTTTCACCCATTTTTCTCCATTTGTTTTGTGCACCCGCGAGATTTCTTTCAGATGCACTTCCCAATAAAGACACACACACCCTGACTTCGAAGTCACCAGTCACCATCATCACACATCTGACAACACATCACATCAAAACATCAGACAGTCTCACTCATATTTCAGCCGGTCAGGCTGGCGTCTTTTTCGCTCCGGGCGCCTGACCTGGTTACGAACAGCGATACCGGTGGACCACAGCGGCTCGTCTTCGCCGGTGTACAGCTCCGTTTTGTTTGGAACCTTCTCATGCTTGGCTTCGTGTGCTGCGCATGGTCGCAGATCACGCACGTGCCGTGGAACTCCTTCCACTTCAACCGCATGTTCCGACAGAACTCCAGTAACCACGCCTCGACTGAACTTGGTGTGGCAGCGCGCATTCGGGGGTTTTACCCAGACCTGGTCACCCGCCGTATACTTGCTCCGAGCAACTGTCTTCGCCGGTACCTTACTTGTTGGGTTCCGCTCCCCTCTCCTCACGACCTCATATCTGTACAACATATTGGCTGGTGCAGAACCGGAAGACTTATCATCCCTGGGCGTGACGTTGTACAGATGTACCGCCTCAGCTACAGTACAGTTGGATCGTGCCGCGATGACTTTCACGCTTCGATGGCACCGTCCGGTTACTCTGTTCCCATAGGCACAGCGGAACCGCAGCTTCACTTCCCAGGGACGCACAAAGCTTTCGAACATACGGCTCCGGAACGCCGTATCATTGTCCAGGAGCAGCTCCTCCGGTGCGCCTCGCTCCAGGAACACGGACTCGAGAGCCTCGATGACGGCCGCACTTGTCTGCATTTTCAGTGGCCTCCACAGCGTGAAACGGCTAGGTCCACAGTCCACTAAAGTCAAATAGTGAACTCCTCTGTAGTGGGTGATATCCACTCCCAAACGTGACCACACCCGCTCCACTTCCAGTCTCCCAGGCCGCCAGTGAACCGGCGCAGGGTCAATGGAGTGGCACACTTCAAGTTCACATCGAGCTACGACGTCCCGTACCTGCCCCTTTGTCACTGTGGCAGACACTCGCACGAAGTACAGTGTTCGTCTGACACCAGGGTGGCCGGAATCACGGTGGACACGCGTGATGACGTCATCAACTCTCGCTTCTGGAGCCACCGCAAGGCAGGCAGGCGACGTCTGCTCCCTCTCAGCTTCTGCCAGAGCTCTCAGCCAGCGCTGCGGCACGCGGGTCAGTTCATCCGCCCTATTCGCAGCAGATGGTACAGCCCTCAGCAGACTGCGTGGTAGGTATTCTTTTTTTCGACAAAACCGATAATAACTCAAAGGCTATGCTATCAGTCGGTCGGAACTCACTGCAAATAGATGCGCCACGCTCCACTCCTTCGATTAGGTCTATCACGAAACAAAGTATACGCCTTGTGTGGCAACAAAATGCAAAAGTTTGTTTTGGGGGCAAATATAAACTTTTGGGTTTTGTTGACGGACTATATGGAAAATGAATACGGTGATGATGCCAAACTAAGGTGCCGAGTCTCACGCGTCTTGCTGTTACGATTTCTGAATGGCCGATAGCATAGTATTCGCGTTATTCTCGTTTTTGTCGGAAAAAGAATACCTACCACGCAGTTTGCAGAGGGCTGTACCAGCTGTACGGATAGCTTCAGTTTGTACTCAGATACCAGTGATGTCACGAGAGCGATGCGCCTCCGTATCAGCATTCCTGATGCAGCCTTGGTTCTCAGTCTCGCTTTCCCGCTCAGACCATCTGAGATCCAACGGTAAACTGTGGCGGAGTCCGTATGGAGAATCAAGTCGGTGAAGCCCCATGCGAGCGCCATGTTGAGTCCTTCCACCACTGCGTCCAGCTCAGCCATGTTTATATGCGTTACATCCTTGTGAACCTGCTTCGAACCAGGCCGGTACTCTAACCTATAGTCATAGGCCCCGAGCATGAGAGCCCAGCGCACCATGCGGGGAGATGCCATCACAGGCAGCGCCCTCTGTTCACCGATGATACCCAGCAGGGGTTTGTGATCCGTTTGTATGGTGAATGCCCGCCCGGCTAGGTAATAATGCCACTTTTTCACCGCCGTGATCACCGCCAGAGCCTCGCGATCTGTTTGTGAATATCGTGTCTCCGTATCGTTCAGCGTTCGTGAATAAAATGCTACGGGCCTCTCCCCCTCCCTGGTTCGCTGACTGAGCACACAACCGACCGCGCGGGGCCCCGCGTCGCACGCTACAATGACCGGCAGGGCCGGGTCAAAGTGGGCCAAAACGGGAGGTCTCACCAACAACGCCTTAGCCTTTGCGAAAGCAGCGCTCTCCACATCCGTCCACTTCCATGCCTGACCCGTACGCAATAGCTGATACAAAGGGGCTAAACAGGTAGCCAGATTCTGAAGGAACCGGCCGTAGTAGTTAATGAGGCCCAGCCATATACGAAGCTCCTTGATGTTTTGTGGATCAGGAGCTTTCAGTATGGCGTCTACTTTGTCTGTAGAGGTCTCCACGTCCCTGCTGCTGAGTCTAAAACCTAAGTACGTGATCTCGCTTACAGAGAAGCTACACTTTGCTCTGTTGACACGGAAACCAGCCTCCTGCAGTCGCTGCAGTACCTGACGGAGGCTAGCGTCATGCGCCTCCTGATCACGACCCGCACACACTATGTCGTCTAAAAACAGACCGACCCCGGGGATGCCAGCCAACACTGACTCCATAGTGCGTTGAAACAAAGACACAGCGCTAGCATACCCAAAACCCAGCCGACAAGGTCGCAGCAAGCCCTTTGTGGTGTTCACCGTGAGATATTCACGTGAGCGCTGGTCGAGCACTAGCTGGTTATATGCGCTTTTCAAGTCTATCTTAGAGAAAACTGTACAGCCTGCCATCTTAGAACACAGCTCCTCAATTCGGGGCAAGGGGTACTGCTCAACTTTAGCTGCTTTGTTTATTGTGAGACGATAATCGCCACAAATCCGCACAGATTTCCCCCCATCCTTGGGCACTACTACTAGAGGTGCCGCCCACTTACTGTGTCGAACAGGTTCCCAGAGACCGTCTCTGATCCCCTGCTCCAGCTGGGCGTCGACCTCTTCCCGGTAGGCCAGTGGAACGGTGCGCGGCTTAAAAAAGCGCGGCTGGACGTCAGGGTCGACCTCGATGTTGACCTCTCCTCCGGTGTAGCACCCCAGCCCATCTTGGAAAACTTCCGGGAACTCCTCCAGGATGCCATCCACCCGAGCCTGCTCCTGGACCCGGCAGATGGCCGGCCAGTCCAGCCGGATGTGGTCCAGCCAGTTCCGTCCGAGCAGGAGCGGTCCGGCCCCGTCGACCACGACGAGAGGTAGACGGACCACCCGACCAGCGTAGTCCACGTCCACCAACACCTGGCCCAGCACGGAGAGTGCCTCCTCGCTGTAGGTCTTCAGGTGTACAGAGCAGGGCAGCAGATCGGGCCCGTGGTCGGGCCACAGACGTCTGAAGCCGGCAGCAGAGCAGACGGAGACAGCTGCCCCCGTGTCCACCTCCATCTTCACCGGTCGTCCGTCCAGCGCGAGGTCCACCAGCAGCGGCGGGCGCCGCTTCACCGCCTCCGGACGCAGGT